ATCCAATGCAAATCTAGTAACCTTGGCTCGTAAGGCCCTCGATTCTTTGTGGTCCGGCCGAAGTTTACCATTCTTCAAATAGTCAATATACTTATTCCTCCAGTCCCACGTCAGGCTTGTTGAATTTATTTTGGCATGACCCTCTTCAACCACGGACCTTGATAATTGGACAACAGTCCCCGGGACGATATCACCTTCTTCAACAGAAGAGCCCAGATTGGCAAGCGCATCGGCCTCACTATTCTGCTCTCGAGTCACATGATCCAGAGTCCACTCCTTGAAGCGATGCAAGGTTACCTGCAGTTTATCCAAGTACCGTTGCATCCTATCTTCTCGAACGTTGAAGCTTTTGTTTACTTGGTTTACAACCAATAGGGAATCGCACTTGGCCTCGAGGACCTCTACTCCTAAGCTTTTAGCAAGCTCAAGACCTGCAATCATGGCCTCATACTCGGCCTCATTGTTAGTTAATCTTGGTGTTTTGATAGATTGCCTAATAGTATCACCTGTGGGAGGTTTTAAGACAATGTCAAGTCCGAACCCTTTGACATTTGAGGCACCGTCCGTGAAAAGGGTCCATACACCCGATGTTGTACCCGAGTTTAGCAGGAGTTCTTTCTCCACTTCAGGTACGAGGGTCAGCGTAAAATCGGCCACGAAGTCAGCTAGGATTTGAAACTTGATGGCCGTTCGGGGTTGATATTCGATATCGTACTCGCTAAGTTCGACGGCCCATTTGGCCAATCAGCCCGATAGCTCGGACTTATGTAAAATGTTTCGAAGAGGGTAAGTGGTTAATACTTGGATGACATTGAAAATATAGTTTTAGCTTTCTAAATGCGCTTATCAGTGCAAGTGCTAATTTTTCTAAGTGAGGATATCTAGTTTCAGAATCTCCTAGAGTTTCGCTTACATAATAAACAGGAAGTTGTGTACCTTGCTCTTCTCGAACTAGTACCCCACTTACCGCTATCTCGGATACTGCCAAGTATAGATACAGCCTTTCATCTTCCTTTGAGTGTGAAGAAAAGGCGGGCTCGACAGATATCGCTTCAACTCTTCCAAGGCTTAATGACATTCTGAGGTCCACGGGAAATCCTTTTTCTTTTTGAGCAAGGAAAAAAACCGGTGACTTCGATACGACGACCTCAAAATGAATCGACCCAAGGTAGTTATTCGCCTTGTTAGCCTTTGCATGACCTTCACACTATCCATGATCGTGATATCCTCGATAGCCTTGATCTTATCGGGATTGATTTCGATACCCCGATTTGACACCATAAAGCCGAGGAACTTCCCCGAGCCAACTCCAAAGGAACATCTCTCCGGGTTAAGCTTCATGTTATATTTTCTCAAAATTGTAAACGCTTCCTGCAAATGTACTAAATGGTCCTATGCGCGCAAGGACTTAACCAACATGTCATCAATATAGACTTCCATTGTTTTACCTATTTGTTCTTCAAGCATTTTGTTAACTAGGCATTGGTATGTAGCTCCTACGTTTTTTAGTCCAAAGGGCATTACGTTGTAACAATAAGTTCCAAACTTAGTTATAAATGAAGTCTTTTCCTTGTCCTCCAGGTTCATCTGAATTTGATTGTACCCGGAGTAGGCATCGAGAAAAGTTAGGGTCTCGTGGCCAGCCGTGGCATCGATCATTCGGTCGATGTTTGGAAATGGGAAAGAATATTTCGGACCTGCTTTGTTCAAGTACTTATAATCCATACACATTCTAAGTTTATTTCCTTTTTTAGGAACTACAACTATGTTTGCTAACCATTCGGGGTACTTTACCTCTCGAATGGATCCTATTTTAAGGATTCTTTGTTACCTCGTCTTTTATGAAGGCATGCTTTGCCTCGGACTGAGGCCTCCTCTTTTGCTACACCGGTTTGAACTTGGGGTCGGTGCTCAACCGATGTATGGTGATTTCTGGCGGGATCCCTGTCATATCTAAGTGGGACCAAGCAAAGCAATCCATATTATCAATAAGAAATTGAATGAGTTTTTCCCTGAGTTCGGGGGTTTGTCCCGTTCCCAAGTATACCTTTTTCTGCGGCATGTACTCGATCAAAGATAACCTTCTCCAGTTCCTCGATAGTTGATTTTGTCGCATAAGATTCTTCGGGAACGTTGAAGGTTCGAGGAGTAATGAAATCCTCATCTTCGTCTTCGATCGCCTGTTGCTTTGACTTCATCGAGGCTGGAGGTTGTAATTGCTATTTGGCGGCCTACTCATCCTTAGGGCTCGACTTCTCCAAGGTCGGAGACTCTGGAATCGGTCCTACCTCCTCAATCGCAAACATCTTCTTTGCAGCATGTTGCTCTCTGTAGGTCGCTTTTATCCCTTCCTCTGTTGGGAACTTCATCATTTGGTGAAGAGTAACATAGCGAACAAATCAGTAGAGTTAGGAGCTAAGTTGTGATACCAAATCATGGCTCCCTTAGATAGCGTTTCTCCAAACTTTTTCAACAGCATTGACTCGATTTCATCATCATTCAAATCATTCCCTTTGATTTTGCAAGTTACGAAGTGATATGCTCGTTGGGGTCGGTTGTTCTATTATACTTGGTTATATCGGGCATGCGAAATTTCTTAGGGATGTGCATCGAGCTGCGCTCTGAGGGAACGGTTTTTGTATGAACTTCTTGGCATCCAAACCCTTCAAAACTGGGGGTGCCCCCGGTATCTGGTCTACGCGGGAATTATAAGTCTCCACCTTCTTATCATTGTCTTCAATTTTCTTTCATCTGGACTCGATCCTTTTAGTGAGCTCTTCGAGAATTTTCATAATTGTGGGGTCAGTCCCCGAGCCGTTTTCATTGGATCTCTCTGGCATTGGCTCAACATGCCGATTGTTTTTATGTTCAGCTACGCTCAGGGTTTTATTTTGACTTTGGAGTTGAGCAATGGCGATTTGCTGAGCCTGCAGCATCTCGAATATTACTTGGAGACTAACTCCTCCATCTCCTACACTTGGCGTTCCTTGGTCCCCTGGTCGATCTTCCCTGCGTGCACTCCCTACGGGGTCTGTGCCTGAATCCGTGTTCAGAGTGTTGTGCGAACTGATATCAACTGGCTCCATATTTGGCACTTTCTCAAGGTTTATGGGTGGTACACCGACCCCTACACTGCTGTTTTCTCCGAGACCCTCAGTGTCATGAACATGTGCGTTTTGTGTGCTAGACAAGTTCAAGCCTGAAAATCAAGAATCTTGACAAGAAAAAGTGTAAAGACAACGTGTGTAACGAGAATCAATAAAGAAGTCATCACTATTATCTTTAGCCCCACGGTGGGCGCCAAACTGTTTACCTCGAAAATACGAGTAACAATTAAACTTGATTTGTAGTTTTAAAGATATGTGATTTAGTTCAATACCAATTAATAATCAAGAAATATGAAGTAGGAATGAAAGATAGAAGTGAATCAAACCAATGTTAGCTATCGCAGTGACCTCGAGGTGGCTTAGGGCAGTAAGAACAATAAAGTAGGATCATACTCCGTAAATTTGCGCCATTATTTTGGGGACGTCGCAGGAATCTAGCTCGTTCCGGTACAAATCCATAACGGTAATATGTCGGGGTAGAACACACCTGACCTCGTTATCCATCGTGCCTCGCCTTCGAACTCATGTCTGGTCCCTCGAGCTCGAACCTGACCTTACCCGAACTCGGACTTCGGAGGGCCTCCCAAGTGTATAGATCGAAGACATTCGATCTTAACCGTGTACATTATTGATTCTCTTTCCCCTAATGGAAATTTCTATTATTTCAGTTTTCATTAAAAAGATTTGTCTTCAAATAATGATCGTTTATTTTCATTAGCTGCAAAAAGCTTTTTACTAAACAAGTTTTCGAATAGAAGAAAACATGTCAATTTGGTAACATAAAGCAATTATTATTCAGGTAAAGCAAACCAACAATTTAAAAAAAAAAAAAATCCTTTTTGAGTGTTTTGATTGAAACCAATTCGAATTAAGGTTTCTTCCGCAAAAGCCAAACTTATAAAAAAGAATTAATCTGACCTTTTCTCTTCATGGATTTTCTTCTAATTTTCATATATCTTTTCCTCCATATTATCATGTACTAAATTTTCTCTATAATTCTTTTCATCTTTTACTAGTCTAATCTCAGTTTCTCAACAAATACTGTTAGTATTCAATGTTTAAATTAAGTAGGTAGAATTGATTTGGGGAAGTTTAATAAAAGAATTACTACCATTTTAACACCCCAAGCTGATACATTAAAATTCCACATATATATATATATATATATATATATATATATATATATAAACTACCTAGCCTGACATTTGGCTTGTTTGATGAATATTAACAAGTACTTGGCTGATAAAAATAGCTAAGAGAGTAACTTCAAACACACGTTGAGAGGAAATAATTGGTGAGTGCAAAACTGCAAATGGACAAACAACTATAACTGAAAAAACTGGAGAAGTGAACCAATCAAGCGGACAAACTAAACCAAATAGGAGTAGTACTTATGCCACAAGAAATGTACTACTCATAGAGAATTGACAATCAACAGTAGCCTTTGTACACAATCTAATCGTATATGGTCCCCACTTTCCATTTACACATCTTCAAATCTTGCATTACAACTCTTCAGCACTTCTTGCAATTTCTACTGCTCATAATTTCAGTCACATTATTATATGTGCAAGAACACCAATTAATTACAAGTCGGTTACTAAAAAATCAAAGCTCACATTGTGGGAATATTGTGGGAATTGGACTTGGAAATGTTACAGAAAATCTTAAGAAATGGTAAATGTTGAAAAATTAACACTAAATTTACAAGCTTAGATTGTAATTATTTAGAAACAATTTATTCTAATTTCACTATACACCTAAACGGTTGAGGAGTTCAAATTTCACCTTATGTGCCTCCCCTTGTTCTGGCTTCCTGTTCCTTTATTCAAGACCCACGCTTCTCCCAAAAACAATTTAAGAAATAGTGATTAATAAGCTGATCAGTTCGAGAAAGAAAATAACTAAAGTTTCCATTTAATTTCCTCTTGAAAAACAGGACTCAATATACAATTGAAGTTAAAAGAAGATACCATTTCCTTTTCCTTTGATCAGAAAACGAAGTTACAGAATACAAACAACATCACTCATCTCAAGATTCTTGATTCTGTGCGTTACCATATAAACCAAAATTCTTTCTTTTCATGAATTCATTTTGACATAAAAACAACCCCAAAAGGCAATAGAAAAAGAACCAAAACGAACAAGAACATTGACAAAGGAAAAAAAAAAAAAGATTTCTTTTCTTCTCTTTTCCTTTTTTGTGATTTGGATTATTCACCTGTGACTCGCATCGCATCACCACCACCAGCAGCAGCTTCACGTGCCAAAGTTTCTGTTACAGTAGCCAACTTCTGAAGGTTCAACTTGACAACAGTATCAGCAAAAAGACGGGTATCTTCCTCCGTATTCCCTTCAGGTACATCAACAACGTAAGATTCCAAAACAACGGTCCAGATCTTCCCATCACGTTCGAATCCATGCACCGTCGTAACAGACCGGTAATTCCTCAGCCGGTGCTCACCACCAATGATACTAAACCCCGTTACGTGCCGGTCATCGTCCAAGATATCGAGCCGTTCGGTACTGGTAGCAGCCGGTAAACCAGAGATGACGCTGACGTCACGGGTGGACCCCACTGCTATACGAAAGTCTTCACTTACCGAACAGCTCTTGATGAAGTGCTTGTACGTTTGGGGCTTGTCGAACCGGCGGACCACGGTCCACACGGTATCTGCCGGCGCGTGGATGCGCTGCGCAAGTAGGGAAGAGCATTGGGCCGAGTTGACTCGGTAAGAGTGGAACTCACTGACGGATGGACTCAGTTCTTGGAATTCTTGTGGAGTTAGACCGGGCGGAACCGTTAAGTGGTGGGTTATGATTGTTGTTGATGATGATGAACTGGTTCGAGATTCCGGTGAGGTTTCTGGTTTATCCATTGAAGAAATATACAGAGAGGAAATTGAAGAAATGGAGAGGAGAAAGCGAGAGAAAGAGAAAGGAGGGGATTCGAACGTGGGGAAAGATCAGATTTGCCAAATACATAAACAGTCCTTTAAGTTGTCCTCAACGATCAACAAATATCTCAATCGAACCATTTACCATTTAGCCACTTCAAATAACTATTAAGTGTATCAAGCAAACATCTGAGTGCATCAGACCATATGCGTGACTTACACTTGCTAATGACGTGTCAAATAAACCAATTAAAAAGTGGCACGTGTAATTAATTTGAATTAACAAAAAAAATACATTTAGAGAAAAAAAAAATCCTTTTACTTTTAACCAACCTGCCCGCTCCCCCCCCCCCCCCCCTTCATCTTCTTGCTTTCACCCATCAGCGTCCCTCATCCCCTTATCCCAAATCCACCCTTATCCCATCCCAAGTCCAACAAATTAAACTTAGATACTGTAATTGGCTACGCATTAGGAATAGGGGCGATGCTTTAAACCCAATTTCAAAAATTGAAGAATAGAGGAGTTGAACAATATAGCAGCTTTTTTGGCGTTCTTTAGATTTGTTCAAATTTTTCAATCAAATCTCAGTCTTTACTTCACCAAATGAGTCCAAACTTGAAATGAGAACTCTAATTAACATCGATATCAAACCCCAATATCCAATTTTTACAAGCAACAACAAAATCGAAAGACCAAGTCGTAGTCTTCTTCGAATAGACTTCAAAAATTTTGAACCAAAGCCAATCGAATCAACTCCAATCCACCTAAATTCGTAGATTCCATTTCACAAAGAAAGTTTCAACAAAGGTTTCAAACACCCAATCGATTTCGGCTGCCAATTTTCAGATCGAAACAACCCAGCTTCTTCCACAATATTGGACAATGAAGAACGATGAAATGCGAACTCGGATTTCAAGAGTTGTGTTGGGTTCGAAGACTTCTTTCCAAATTTGAAATCTAGAGCAGTGGAAAGGATTAAATTCAGAATTTTAGCACCAGATAATGAAGAACAAAGATGCATAAACAAAGCACTCAAGCAAGTTTTTCTAATTTTTTTTAATTTTCTGATTTGACTACGGAAGAAATGACTTCACGCGCCCAAGACTTTGTTAGCAAACACGCATATGCCACATCAGCAACAAGTGTTTACTTGATACATTTAATAGTTATTTGAAGTGTCTAAATGGTAAATGGTTCAGTTGAGGTGTTTGTCTGGTCGTTGAGGACAACTTAAAGGGGCCGTTTATGTATTTCGCCTTTTTATAATATGAGTGAGGGATAAAGAAAAAGGAGAAGGGCGTAATGGTAAATTCAAATGCTAACTTTTCTCAAGGTTTTTCGAAATATAAAATTAGAAAAAATAAAGATTGCAAATCAATTTGATAACATTTCCTTTGAGAAATTGTGCATTTACTAATTGTCCAAAGCAAATTACTTTCTCTGTGTAATTTGACCAATTCTAGTAAAATATTCATTGCTTTTGCAAGATATCAACTTTTTTGTTTAACTTACTTTTAAGTGACATGATTGTTTATATTTATTTATATTATATCTTCAGTGATAAAACTTTTATTCATGAAGTAACATGTAGGCAGCGTTCCATATTTGTGACGTGGAGTGGATATTTCACATTAATATATCCCTACTTCTAGTACTGGTACAGGAGGCTTACCTTGTGTAGGCCTCCTGTACTATTATCTAGTCTTAATGTGCTAACCTATAGTCAGAGTTGTACTATTAAAACAAAGAAAAAAAATGAGGGGGGTGTAGGAAAGATGTCACAAAAAGAAATCAAAAAAGAGAAGGAAAAGCCATGTGGATTCCTGTTCCTCTAGCTTAGCCAAGTTGGTTGCCAGCTCAGCCAGCTGCAATTCAAGCCAAGATTTCATTCTCTCTTTTTTATTCAACTAGATTAATACCCCTGTGATGCATGAATATTATTAAGAATATTAGTCATATCAAAGTATGATTTGATTTATTTAGTCGCATTAGATAGGGTTTAACAAAAAGTTAATTTTCCTCTTATCTACGCAATAATAAAAGTCCAATGCAATTAAATAAACGACACATAAATTCATCGAATAACTTTTCGATGATAGCCACATATCATAATTATATAGGTTGTACTACAAATAAAATGAAAATATAACATGATTAAAACAAATAAGAATACATTATATTTAAATGAATATAAAAATTCTTTACTATTTTTCTAATTTCATTTTTATTTATTCATCATCATTACGTAATGATCCGGTAGGTCGTTTTATGTATTTAAGCCTTGTTTTTCCTTTTGAAGCTTTATGTATGTGTATTTGTTGTTATTTGACTTGCAAGGATGGTTAGTTTGATTTCGGTGTGGTTTTGGATTGATTTGGAACACCTATTTTATAGTTTGGAAGCCTAAGTTGTAAGAGTCGATCAATGTTTGACTTTTGTGAAAATGACCCCGGAATGATGTTTTGATGATTCCAATAGGTTCGCATGGTGATTTTGGACTTAGGCATACGCGCGGTATTGAATTTGGAGGTTCCTAGGATGAATTGACTCTTTTGCCGAAAGTTGGCAATTTAAAGGTTTAAAACTTCCTAAGTTTCACCATGGGTTGACTTTGTGACTATTGGGTTAGAATTTCGGTTTCGGAACTTGGAATAGGCCCGTTCTATCGTTTCAAACTTGTGTGCAAAATTTGGTGTCATTCCAAGTTGGTTTGGTAAGAATCAGACGCTTGGTTGTGAATTTAGAAGTTCTTGAGTTTCATTGGAAATTTGATGCGTTTTAATATTCGATTCGTGGTTTCGGACATTATTTTAGTGCTTTGAGCTCGGGACTGAGTTTGTATGATGTTAATTGACTTGTGAGGATGTTTGGTATGGAGCCCGGGGACTCGGGAGAGTTTCAGACGTGTTTCAGGGTGATTTGAATTGAGTTCAATTTTTGCTAGTGTTGCAGGTCTCATACATGCGAGAACCAGTTCGCATTTGCGAGTCTCACGTTTGAGAGGTATGAGCCGAAAATGCGAAGTTGGGCAGGGGTGACATGCTTCGCATTTGCGAAGCCAGAAAATTTCGATGGGGGAACTAGGCATGGGTTGTCGCTTTCGTGATGCTTGCTGGGTTCACATTTACGAAGCACTTGTCGTATTTTTGACATTTTTTTGGGCTGGGCAGACATCGCATTTGAGATCCCTGGATTGCATTTGCGGTGGTCGCCTTCGCGAACCTTTGTCAGAAATGCGACATTTACAAATAGGTTATTAGATGGCATTTCGGGACTTAGACTCATTATTTAATATTTTGAGATTAGGAGCTCGACTTGAGAGGATTTTCACCCACTTGGATTGGATAAGTATTTTTGACTCCGATTTGACTATTTTTTTATAATTGGTTTCATCTTTTATTTAGCATTTAATCCATGAATCCATGTGTGAAAATTGAGGTTTTTGACAAAACTTTTCTAAAAATGAAAATATGTGATTTAAAAGTGGGATTGGACTCGGTTTTTGAAAATTAATCATATATTTGGACTCGTTGGTTTATGGGTAGTCGAGATCTACCTCTCTAGTTGGGTTTTGACCGGGGGGCCCCGGTTTTGTTAACTTTTGGGAATTGGCTAACTTTATTAATTGAAATTGATTTCTTTTGCGTTGTTTAATATTATTGAATCGTTTTTTGGCTAGATTTGAGCTGGACAGAGGTAAATTTTAAAGGAAAAATATTTTTAGAGTTCTGATTTGGCTTAACCATTCCATATGGCACAACATCGATAGAATACTCCTAGGAATCACTGCGGTAAACATACACAATCAAGAAAGGGTTATAAAGCACAAGTGATTAACTATGTGCTCCTATAGGCATGCTTGTTGTGCTACTAACAATTCAAATTCAAGGATGTCAGTCTAAGTGCTTAAGGCATCAGTAGTTAGCAAAAGACAAACACATGCACTCATTCATTGAACTTTATAAGAGGTCTAATGCTTCATACAGATCCAATTAGACTGGGTTACCTTTAAACAAGTTTAGATTATTAGAGACAGTTATAGAACACCTGAACAGTCTCAAAGCAGTCCTTCAACAATAAACAAACACATAGTTGTAGACCTCATTATATGCTAAAGAATCCAAGCTAATCACTTTACTCAGAATTGGTCTAAGGAGTCACACTAACAATTAGAATAACCGGGACATTGCTTACCTTGAAAATGATAATAACAATTAGATTTGATTTTGTAGTTCTAAAAATACGTGATCTATTTTTATGCTAGTTGTAAAGCATTAGATGCTAAGTGACGAGGTTAGAAAATAAGATAAGAATTTGAAGATAGCTTTAAAAACCAAACCAAACGGTTGAGAATCGGGGCCTCGAGCTAGCGCGTGCGAGGCCTCGATGTCGAGTCAGATGCTCGTAAAGGGTCAGTCGATGAAGGATTAACAGCTATTAGGGTTCTGATTGCGGCTCTTTATGGCCAATAACGAGCAATAAATGAAGAACAATTAATGAGATATAATAAATATAGATAAAGCAATAAATGTAAGCAATAGAGCCAAATAGAGAGTATGTTTGAGTTAGAGAGCAGAAAGAATATTCTTGTATTGAATGAATTATCTTGTGTGTCTTACAAAATGATAAAGAAACCCTTTATAGATCAGGGGAATCCTAGTAAGTGTTGATACCCAATTTTTCCCTACATATTTTTATACTCAAAATATCCTCAAAATAGCATGTACACGCATATATAAGCATGCCCTAAAGTTTAGTATTTTTCTTTTATTTTTAAAGATTTTTAAATCAATTTATTGTCTATTTTAATACTATAAAATTTAATAATTATTCCCAAACTAGCATTTTTTGGTGAATAATTTATTTCATTCTTATATTTACACTATGATATAATTGGGGAAATTTTTGCATATTTTTTATACATTTGCTTGGTATTTTTAAAACTAAATTGCGTATAATTGCAATTATAGCCTATATTACAATTAACAGCATTTTATAATTATAAAATTAGTTTTAGTATTTTTACATTAATATTTATAGGTTATTAGTTGGTCCAGTACCTTTAAT